TTTAAGTTGATGTGATAACCTGAGGTAATGATGTGTCATGTAAATTTTAGGTGATTAATAACACACACGACAAAAAAATATGCGTTTCTTGATTGGCTGAAAACGAGCGAATTTTTCTCGTTACTTACTTTGATGCTTTTTTCATGTTAATTGTTAATAACTAATAACATCATTTCTCGTGTGAATGGTTCAAATTTGTCAAAGACTACAAATTGCATATGCCTAACAGGGTCATGTAATTTTGTTGTCTGTGGAATATTTACTCGTCTATATTTGCACCGAATTACACTCGAAATCATAGCACCTACGATTTCATTTCATTCTTTATCTAGCTGGTTGTCAGGAAGCATTCGGCATGGAGAGCGGTAAAATTAAAAACAATCAACTTGAAGCATCTTCGTCTAAAGGCAAACACGATCCTGCACAGGCAAGACTTAACAATGAAATAGCTTGGATACCATGGGACAACGATGAAAGTCCGAGACTTACCATAATTTTGGGTAACAAATACAACAGGATCACAGGAATAGCAACGCAAGGCAGTGCCAGGGGTAAGGGTTGGGTTAGATACTATAAATTGGAGTACTCGTCAGCAACCGCTGATTTCCGGAAAGCATACCAAAACAATGTGAGTATGAACTGTAGTTCTATTCAATTATTTGATTTGGGCAACCATGTAGTATGAAACATTTGGCGTTTAATGCGGTAGTGTGTTAATGTCCTAGCAGTTGAAAACCAGAGCATCACAACGGACAATGAAGTCTTCTTATGCGGGCGATATTAGTCGACTTAAGCGCCTGAAGTGGACCAGTTGTATGCAGTTGCAACTTTGCAATCCACGTTAGAAGTTCATACATAGCTAGACAAACGATGAGACTTCTTTTAAAATGTTTAATTCCTGGAGGTCTGTTCAATCCAGTATCCCTCAGCCTATAGATGTCTATGTTAGTCCAATTCTCGCGAAATTAACACCGGTTGCCAGTTGAACAGAGGGTTATTTTCAAAGTAATGTCAATCGCATATTTACTTAAAGAAACTAAAAAAAAAAAAAAGACGCCTGGAAACATACGAGGAAAGTGCCTTTTTGGCAGCAGCCCATCGTCGTTTGCTTTATCAATCAACATTATATCAAGTCCCTATGTAAGAGTTTTTCAGAGAAGATTAAAGGTGTATCTTATAAGAGCTACAAACATTTCGGTATTAATATTCATTTTCAATTTTTTTTAGCTTCGCGTCTTTCATGGTTTTGTATAGTTTTTTAATTATTCAGTGATATAGAAATTGTGTTATCACTATTACTATTATCATTATATTTACCACAAACTCTCAATCATTTAAAGTCTTTTTAAAAAGTATCATGGTTTTTACATTTAGACATTTGAAGGCAACTCAGATGGGACGACTACTGTTTATCACAATTTGACAAATGCATCATTTGTGGCGGCTAAAATTCATTTCCTTCCCTGCTCATGGGAAAATCTTGTAGCAATGAGGGTGGAGATCTATGGCTGCCCAGGTAACATTGCATATTTTGCCTTCGTTCAAGTAAAAAAGAGGAGGATAAAATCACGGCTGAAGAATGTTCAAGTGCGTGGCGGTTATCTTGAATACCTACGTCATTATTTTTTTATAGCAATGCACACTTCGTTTTCGCCTCTTGCCATTTTTATGCACAAATGGCAACATATGTCAATGCCACAGCAACATGAAAACTACACCTGCACTTCGCTCTCAGAAAACTTGAAAATGTTCTGGCAGACCGTTCCATGAAACCTTACCTTTATGCCTAGGGGGCCTCATTCTCATTCATTTGTCCATTCATCCATTTATTCACTCACCCATTCATTGATTCATTCATTTACTTTCATTCATTCATTTCTCTGGTCCAATTGCTGGTTAGTTCTTTCATCCTCTTTTTGTTCTATTCTGTTTGATCGTTCCTTTTTTCGTGTCCATTAGAAATGGACTTAGTTGCAAAGAGTAGCGTAGTCCACAATGGAGCTTTGAATCGTTTATAGATCCGTGCTCAAAGAATCCTTGCAAGAATGGTGGAACTTGTAACAGCAGTTCTGAGGGCTTCAAATGCAGATGTCGCTGGGGATTCTCTGGAAATGATTGTTCCCTTGAGGGTAATGTAGAGTTGACGATCCGTTTCCACAATCATTCATTAAATGTGCAATGGAAGTTCTTCACACATGAATGTCATAACTATTAACGTAGGGTTTTAATTTTCAATTTGGTTTGATTTTACGTATATTACAGAGTGCCATAGACCTCTGGGTATACAGAGCGGTAAAATCGAAGATTGGCAGATCACTATGCGACCCTTTCGTTATGACAGATATGAGCCCAGACCTTGGAGACTGCTGCTTGAAGCGACAGGAGGGAGGGAGGAAGCTTGGAAACCCTACTGGAGCTATAGAGGCCTATGGTTTCAGGTTCACTTCCATAATGAATACACTTGGGTAACTGGGATAGCGACACAAGGAAGGGTGACTACATACAAGCTACGTTATCGGAGATACAGAGTTTGGCCTAGGTGGTACAGAGAAATAGGACAAAGATATGCAAAGGTGAAGAAAATATTGTGAATTATACTGTTAAACTACAACACACAGATTCTATTTCGTTCACCAGACCCACAATATGCCCAAACATATTTCCGAGAATCTGTGCAGACCCATAGTTCTGTTAAAACGGAAGGGGGGAGGGGGGGATGAAAGCTACCGACCTGAGGTACATTACTTCAAGTTTTTGCTGATATATGACTTCCAGAGTAGCGACCATGTCAGGTTTTTCATTCTCTTAGAACAAGGGCGAAGACCTCGTAAGTATTTCAGCCTTTAGATAAGCTCTGCTTTTTAAGGTCAGAAGCTTAGTGACCATGGCATCTTTCTTTATTTCTAGGAATTCACTGGAAATACACACGAAAACACTGTTGTTCATAACATTCTTGAGACACCCATCAGAGCAAGCGTCTTTCGTATCTATCCATGGACTTGGAGAGGAGCGATAGAAATGAGGATGGAGCTTTATGGTTGTAAAGGTACTGCGGATGTAAACTCTTAAAAGAGCAGTGAATTTAAATAAAGGGTAGAGAAAAGGTGTTACTTTTGTTATTATCTAGCTTGATGAAGCTGAATTTTGTTTCTTTTTTTAGCGGTTGGCTGATCGTAAGAGACACGATGATCTTACTGTTTAAAGGACAACGCCTATTTTTTGTCAGTCAGAAATATGTTAGTCTCGAAACTACTTCAGGACAGCATTACTTCTTTCAATAATTATGTCCTGTAATTGCTTTTGAAAACTCGAGCCATATTCTCGATAAGAACCAAACCACCCAGCCATTCAGGAAATTTTATTGATTTGTTTCCTTGTGGTAATTTTCTTTGATGTAATTGGCCGCGGTGCCGTATCACTAATTTTGAGGCCTTGATTCTTATTTTTTTTCCTTATTTTTTCTTTCGATTGACTTCCCCAGACGTATGTTTGTACAAGCCATGTAAGAATGGAGGCACATGCGTCTCTGATTATATCAATGGGAACTACACATGCGTTTGTCCTGATGGATTTTACGGTGATACCTGCAGATTAGGTAAATTAGCTTAGTTTTTCTTTTTTTTCATTAGTGTTCGATATGCACCATAATATTCATAGATATCAAGTCGTAATTAATGTTTGTGAATGGATTGGGTAGAATCCAATTTGGTCTGAAATTAAACATGTACACTTTCTTAAAAGAACCGGGCGGCCGTGAAGTGGGAATCCGATTTGTTCATCAACAATACGGATAGGGTGACACAATGTCTTCTTATCAATGAAATAAAACTATGAAAAAAATTGAAATAGAGAATTCACGTCAGTTAGGTTGTTTTTAAAGATGAAAGCAACAGTCAAGAGAAGAGAAACCAATCGTCTATACAACAGCGCTCCGCCTACAGGTTGTACTGCCGAATTAAACAGGCAAGACGCCTACACTATCCTGCTAGTACCCAAATCGCACTGCCGGTTACCATCACGTTCAATACTTTTCTCATGGCTTTAAGACGGAAATTTCACTTCGGGAAATGAACATAAAAGTAGCAGAAGGTAGTTGTGCGAAGGTGCGTGTCAATTTGAAAAAAATGCAAACGTTGCAAGGTTGATATCAAAACCCAATTTCTTCTTTTCTTATTAAAAAGCAAATAATTCATGACTCCATAACGAATCCTATTCGCCATTGTCTCTTCCATTACTTGTATTTAATTTAACCATTTAACTAACGGAATTTGGAATTTGTTTCACAGGTGACTTATGCAAGCTTAGTAATCCTTGCTTAAATGGAGGTAACTGCTCAGCAGTAAGATCCTGGCCTTATTTCAAATGCACATGTCCTTTCAATTACACCGGTTTCGACTGTGGATTCGGGATAGGTAATGTAAATCTCACCATGTATAGTCCAGACAGGTGGAAAGCACAAAGAAAAATAAACAGTAACTACAGTGGTAAAGGGTAAAAACGGACCCACAAGCAAAAAGCGATCAAACAAAACAGATGCAAAAGAAAGGTTGATAAAAATTGTGCAAAATGATCTCGTTTGAATTGTACATCACTTTTTGTAGAGCGATATTATGAGGTTATCCTGGTATTGAGCAATTTTCAATTT